ATTCAGGGGGCTAAATAAACAATGCTGGTTTAGTCTTTTATCTCATCACTGTTTTATGAAATTCAGGGTTTTTGCAAGTCCAGTACTTCACAACTCTCTTAACCAGCCAACAGTTCCTATTTAGTGTTTATCACAGATGCTGGATGACATGATCAAACCTCCATTGCCTTTAAGGCAAGACTGTCCTGTTGCTTCTGCTGAAGAAAGCCTCAAAACCCATAAGCCAGTGAAGGAAGCTCTGCTTTCAATACTCAAGAGTGACAATGACTCTCCAGGAATTTCAAGAAATGCACATACACATCTTGATGGCCAGAAATGGATGTACACAAGAAGAAACTTTCAGAGTTCTTGTCCAACTAACCTACTCTCTCCCAACTCACACCTTAAATCCACTCTATGCTGTTGTATATGAAACAAAACCAAGCAAAATAAAAATTCAGAAATCTGGGATGGTGGAGTGGCTCAAGCACTAAGAGTGCTTGCCTAGCAAGCATGAGGCCCTGAGTTCAAACCCCAATAACGCCCCCCCCCAAAAAAAACCCCCAGAAACCTTCTTTCCTTTCTAAATTAGTGATCTACTGGGTTTTGTTTTATAACTTACAGAAATATTTTTGGCAAACAGGAGGTTGGCAACAAATAAGACACACCCTCTCCTCAACCCTCACCAGATCACAGGCAGGTTGGAGGAACCTGCCAGCCTGTGGTACCTGTGTACTAAGAAGAATCTAGTACCTTGGAGATCTGTGGCTTTGTACATGGATATTCTCAACTGCTAGGAAAAGCACTTGCCACATGGGAATTTATGCTCCAAAACACGCCCCCTGCCCACATGCTATCTTTCACCCAAATTTTAGTGCCTTTTTTCCACTTCACTTTCTAGGATGGAAACATAAAAGAGCTATTGTCCAGAAACCAGTGAAATATACCTTAAATGTGTTGTCATCCTTAATTTCTTCATGAACTTTGCTTAAACGACTAAAATTCCCATTTCTCTTTAAATACATTCCCGCCCTGAGCTCAATGGTCACAGGAAAAGACTTTTATTTCCCAATGGATGAGAGACTCTTTCATCTTCTTAGTCAGTCGGGATGAGGTGTATGTGCTCATCCACACACTTGGTCACATAACTGTCCAGCTTCTGCTTCATCTGAAGTTCCCTCATCTTGTTCCCTGCATCCATTGAATCTTGGCTTTGTCATTGCAATGAAAGGTGCACCGGGCCAGGCGGTCCTGGAACCTTTCCAACTCACTGGTCACTAAGGCCTGGGCTAGAGGTGCATGGCAGCGCTCAATGCACTGGTGCACCTGCTGCATGGACACCTGGCTGTCTTCACAGCAATTGGCGCTGCACCAGAACATGAAGCCCTGCATCTTTTGGATGTTCTCTTTCTCCTCGCTCTTCACCATGGCGTCCACCGCCTCCTGCACTGGAGGCAGCTCCGCCAAGGCGACCCCGCACTGCCTGATTTCAGTTTTTACAAATAATCTTAGGACAATTCAGTGACTAAGTTTAGGGGTGGGGTGGAGTTCTTGTCCATGAAGAACAATTTACAAGCTCCATTTTGACTCAAATAAACTTCGTCACTGAAACAAAAATTTATTTATTGTGGGACTGGGGTTTGTACTCAGAGCTTTGCACTTGCAAAGCAGGTGTGTTCTACCTCTTGAGCCACACCTCCAGTTCTGAAACAAGCATTTTAAAGCCATAAATCACTGCCTTTATATTTATAAAACACCATAAACAAACATGCATTTCTCCTTTATTGGGATGATGTGAATAGATGTTTGAACATGAAGGCAGTGATGATCTCAAACATGAAATCTTAAGTGCAGGCTTCCTGTTTGTTCTGGAGCCCATATTCACAGGAAACTGACCAAGGCTAAGGCTTGTCTCCTAGGCTGAGTTCAGCTGCCCATTACCAAGTCCTTGGCCTCAGGTCTGTGGGATAGGCATTGTAGGAACCCATCAATTTACTGTAGTGAGCCATTAGTCCCTTTTGTAGCATTTGTTTTGAGGACTTAGCATTTAGCAGCACAAGAATGTGCACAGAGGGAACAGAACGTTTTGTGTCAACTTAAAGATCTCACAGACAGCACTCCATCCTAGACCACACTCACACCTCAAAACATAGCAAATGTTCTCAAGTATTGAAGCAACAGGTTTTTAGCATTCTTTTCTTTGAAGACTGTTTGGTATTCCTCTTTAAAAAAGTAAATAAGATGCAGAGTACCACATTTTAGGAGAATCTATTTGATGTTCATTAGCCTCAAAGCACAAATAATATCCTTGCTGTACCAAAGTGTTTTCTTATTCAAGGGAAAGGTGAATGGATGGTGGATAGAAGGAAAGATCACTTTAAAGTACTTTCATTTAAAAATCTTGCCCTAGAGATCACATAGGAGAGAGGAACGGTAAAAGAAGGAAGTTAAAGGCGAGTATGGTTGATCTACTCTCTATACAAGAATGAATATAGAATTTTTAAACCTGTTGAGACCACCATAAAAAAGGGATTAAGGCAGAAAGAAAAAAATAGAGGAGATGAACCAATTCAGGTTATAATTCATATACACATGGAAATATCACAAGGAAACTCCCTGTACAGCTATCTTAAGCAAACAAAAATGTCATTTATTTTTCTTTTACAAAATCAGAGAAGGGAGGAATAGGTCCTTTCTGGGGATCAGTACCAGTGGGAGGGGGACAGATGTGGGGAAAGGCTGTAGGAGGGTGAATATGGTGCGAATGCTGTGTACACATGTATGGAAAAGGAAAAATGAGACCTGTCAAAACTATTTCTGGAATGGGTAGCAGCGGGGGGATAAAGGAGAATAGTGGAGGGGATGAATTTAAGTATGATATATTTGATATATTGTAAGAACTTTTGTAAATGAATGAACAATGAATCCCCCAGCACAACAATAAAAAAAAGAAAAAAAATCTTAGAAGTGAAAAGTTCTGACCTGGGGTGGGGCTGTGGTGGTGGCAGGGAAGTCCTTTCCTCTTCCCCATTGGTCCTTTTTAACACTTAGAGTGACAAACACAGCCTGTGGATGTACTCTGAAAGCAGCTCCAGGGTCCCACTCTGGCCTATGTGAGAGCAGGAAGGACACCTGTACAGAGATGTTACCATGCCAATCATGGTTTTCCTGCCTGGCACACAACTCCTAAAATCCTTGTAATACTCAGAATAAGCGTTTCTTTGGTGGCATACTAATGGATAACTGGTGGCAGGTAGCCCCTAGATATCTTCAAGATGGAGACTGGTCACAGAAGAGACCAAGTTATGTTTAGAGGGTGGGGGACATTTTCCATCTCACCCCTGCCAACCTTCAGGGATGGGAGAAGAGCTGAAGGTGAAATAGCCCCAATGACTTAATCAACCATGCCCATGTAACAAAGCTCCCACAAAACTCCAGAAGGACTTTGGAGCACCTCTAGATAGCTGAACATGTATGTGAGGTGCCTGGAAGGTAATGTGCCCGGACAGGGCACGGAGGCCCGTCCCTCTTCCCACACACCTCACCTTGCTCATCTCTTCAGCTGTGTCCTTTGCAGCAACACTCCCTGAGTCCTGTGAACTGATCTAGCAAATTAACTGACCTCAGAGAGGGGGGTCAGAGGATTCCCAATTTCCAGCCAGTTAGAAGCTCAGGAAGCCTGGACTCCAGGCAATGTCACACCATAAAGGAGGAGCTCAGAGAGCTATTGGGGAGTTAGAGAAGGCTTCTTAGACAAAGAGAAATTAGAGCAAGTTGTGAAGGATGGGCAGGAGTTGGCCAGGCACAGAGGTACAGAGGCACATGCGAAAACCCTGTGGTTGGATGGCTAGAAATAGAAAGTGAAGAAACACTGACACAACATGAGGCTTAAGGTGTGGTCGGGTCTGGTTACATGGGGCTTTGTGAGTCACATAAAGTAGGGGTTTGGGGTGAGAGATCAAATGCAGTTTCAGAACTGAATGTTGTGCGAAGACACTGTGGGGACAGTGAGGATTGTGGAGATGTTGAATTCAGAGGCAGATCTGGACCAAGCATAAGTGTGGTGATGGAGAAAGATGGATGGATGTTGGATGACAGTGAGAGGGAGAACCAAGAGGTTTGAGCACTGACAGAATGTGGACTAAACAGGTAAACTGAGTTATAGAGAGGTGAAATCACTTGTCCTAGGGCTGGGGTGGATAAAATAGAGCATTGACTATTTCCATAAAACCCAAATCACAATAACTTAAATGTTGCTGAAGTTTCTTTTTCTTTCTTTCTTTCTTTTTGTTCTTACTAGGGTTTAGGGACTTTGCACTTCTAGGCAGGTGCTCTACTACTTAAACCACACCTTCAACCCTTTTGCACTAGTTATTTTGGAGATGAGGTCTCTTATTTGGTCATGCTGGCTGGTCTAAGATCCTCTTATTTTACACTTTCCACTGTCACTGGGATGACAGGGATGCTACCACACCCAGTTATTGGTTGAAATGGGGTCTCATGACCTTTTTGCTTGGGTTGGCCTTGAACTGAGATCCTCCTAATTTCAGTCTTCCAAGTAGCTGGGATTACAGGTGTGAGCCACTGGCACCTGGACCAGAAGTTTATTTTTCATTCTCTCACAGTCTCCACCTTAGAGGTGGAACAGGGTAGGAACTGGCAACCTTGCCAGGGGCTCTTTGTCTTATCACCTCTCCATCCCTCAGTGTGAGCCTCATCCCCAGACTGAGGAGAGATCACCCCACTCTATGTTCTGGCCCAGGTGAAAGGGAGAAGAGCGAGTGGAGAGCATATTTCTGCTTTTTAGGGTATGACTGAGGGTCCCTGCTGCAGTTCTGTGTGTTTCCATTGACCAGAGCTTAGCCTCATGGCTGCAAGTAGATACAAAAAGATGGGAATGCAGTCCTCAGGGAATCAGGTTTAGAAGAACAGCTGCCATTCCTTGCTTTGGGATTTTCTGTGGGAACTCACGCCAAGGTTGGTCTCATTCTAAAGCTTGCATGTTTAGCGCACACGCTTCCATGTGGCACTTGGATGTTCGTGATGTGGTTCATGGACCAGCAGCATCAGCATCCATCAGGGGTGTGTTCAAAACTCAGAATCTCAGATTCAGCATTGATTTTTCAGGATCTCCTGGGAACCCAGGGTGAGGTAGAAGCTACTGGTCCACGCACCATAGATCAGACTGTCTCAAACTTTCCTATTGCACAGCCCCCTGGGGGCTCTTGCTGAGATGCAGAGCCTGGTTTGGTAGATCTGGGGCAGGGCTTTGAGATCTTACATTTCTACCACATCCCAGATGATTTTCAGGCTGCCGTTCCATGGACCACACATGGGGCAGCAGGGGTCTCGGGTTGTCATGGTGAGGACCAAGCACAAATGTTGCTATGTTGGTTTCTTAGGTTGTCGTAACAAATCAGCTCGCACTGGGTGGCTTTAAACCACAGAAATGTATTTGTTCACAGTTGTGGAGGCTGGAAGTTTGAAATCAAGGTGTTGCCAGGACCACATTCTCTCTTAAGGCTGTACAGTGAAATGTGTTCATGTTTTTTTCTTAGCTTCTGATATTGCTGGCAATTCTTGGTGTCTCTTGGCTTTTAGACACATCATTCCAAACTCTGCCTCCATTGTCACCTGGCATTATCCCTGTGCCTGTCTCTGTGTTTCTTCTCTTCTTAAAGGATACCAACTATATTGTATGAAAAGTCCAAGTTGCTCCAGTACTATTGTGTCTTAACTTACATCTGAACCACACCTACAAAGACCCTATTTCCAGTAAGATCAAACTCACAGGTTCTGGGGTTTAGGACTTTAGCACATCTTTTGGGGAACATAATTTAACACATAATAATCACCATTTATTCTGGGTTCTCTGGAAGCCCCAATCTGGTCCTCTCATCTCATCCAATCTCTTTCTTCCATGCTGCCTAGATGTGAACGAGTGTGCAGACACCACAGCATGCCCGGCTTACGCCATCTGCACCAACGTCGTGGGCAGTTACTTCTGCACATGCAAACAAGGTTTCATGTCCAGTAATGGGGAAAAAAGCTTCAGCGGCCCAGGAGTGGTATGTGAAGGTGAGCTCACATCCCCTCCAAACCCTCCAGCAGGTGGTAGGAAGATCAGATGAATGGTGGTTGGGTAGTGGATGTGCCTACTCCCTTCCACCCCCACCAGACAGCCAAGCTTCTTCCCTCCTTCCCTCCCTCCCTCCCTCTTTCTCTGCCTCCTTCCCTCCTTCCTTCCCATCCATACATCTACCCATTTACACACACACTCTTTCTTCCCTCCTCTTGTTTTTCTAATTCCTAGTCACTGAGAAAATTTCTGGATGGTTGGGCTTACTCACAGTATGGTGGTTGCACTCCAAGACTGAGCATGTCAGGAGAACAAGGTGGAAGTGCATGATGTTCTATGACATGATATTTTAATGAATTAGCATCACTTTCACCATAGTTACAAGCATGCTCAGATTCAAGGGGGAGGGAACATACACTGCACCACTGCACCTCCTTTGGAAGGAGCACCAAGGGTAACTGAATGAAGACCATATGGGATGGGAGGTGTTTTTGCCATCTTTGGAAAGTATAGTCTGCCACCCAAGATGAGGGAACTTTGTCTCCCCAACCTTTTCTCTGTCCAGATGTCAACGAATGTATTCAAAACTCCACACGCTGTGGTCCTAACTCAGCCTGCGACAACCTGCTGGGGAGGTACAAGTGCAGCTGTCTTACAGGTTTCTCTTCTCCCACTGGAAATGACTGGATCTGGAGAAAGCAAGGCCATTTCGCCTGTACAGGTAACACTTTCAGGCTCTCCAGTATGGGTCTTTGTGGACATCTACCACTGGAATAAGTACACGTGTCTAAACTTAGATATTCAGTCTCTTATTCATTCACTCTGCCTTGCAGATATTGATGAGTGCCTCACCATTGGGATCTGCCCTGAGCACTCCCACTGTACCAATTCCATGGGAAGCTATAGCTGCAGTTGCAAGGTTGGCTTCATCTCCAGCAACTCCACTTGTGAAGGTATAGATGACATGCTCTTCATTATTTTTCACATCATTTTGGTGGTGCTGGGGATGGAACCCCAGGTCTTGCACATGGTGGCAAGTGCTCTATCACTGAGCCACACCCCAGTTTGCTCTTCATTATTGACTTCCCTAATGAAGTAAGGACCACCTCACTAGAGGTTATGGTTATAGAGGAAGGGTTATGACTCTCATTTTAGGGATTAGATGATCTGAGTTCAGAGAGGTGAAGCAACTTTTCTAAGGGTACACAGTGGTGAAGTGGAAGATCTGGGGTTTCAACTTTTGCTGAGAATCTCCATGAGTCAGACAGTGGGTCAGATTGTCCTTGAGAGTAATAAGGAGCTTTTTTCTCTACAGTGATTTTTCTCCCCAAGAGACTCTGGCAATGTCCAGAGACATTTCTTATGGTCACAGCTGGTGGAGGAGGGGTGTGCTACTGGTGGCATTTCAGAGGTAGAGGCCAGAGATGTTGATAAACATCTACAATGCACATAACAGCACTCACAACCAGGAATGATGGAACCCCAAATGTCAGTGGTGCTGAGTTGAAGAAGTTCAATATAGAGAGAGCTCTCCCTTCAAACTTCAGAACTTTTTTCTAAAAAGTGTTTGAATTCAGACCTCAGCCTTATTTTGACCTTCTGTTCCCTCCATGTTAATGCAGACACATCATCTTGGGGACTTTGCTTTCTAAATGCACTATCCTTGCTTCACATATCCTCATTAGCCTTTCCTCTTCCTCATCCTCCTCAGGCTCCTCTTCTTCCTCTTCCTTCTCTTCCTGTTTCTCCTCCTCTTCTTCCTCCTCCTGCTTGTCCTTGTTTTCCTCTTGCTCCTCCTTTTCCTCTTCCCACTCCTCCTATTCCCCATTTCTTCTTCCCACTCATCCTCTTCCTGTTTTCCGCTTCCTCTTCCTGCCCCTCCTCCTTGTCTTCCAGCTCCTCTTCCCTGGGGTTGGAAGTCAGGACTGTGAGGACATTACACTGAGATACATCATCATTCTTTACACTGGTCTGAGGCTTGTTCAGATGTCAGAGGCAAGAGGTCCAAGAGAAATAGGATCAGCAAACAGGCCTCTAGAGTTCCAAGTTTGGAACTGACACCCATCATTTCTGCTCCATTCTGTTGACCAACACAGAATGTTGGCTGTCATAGGACCAGCTTGAACCATGTGGTGGGGAATCAGACTCTACCTCATCATGGGAGAAGTGGCATATGACACACAATCCACATCCCAAAGTGTGGATACAGGGAGTTGTGAAGGGCTATGAACATTTTTGCAAACTTTGATAATTATGTGTTGAAACTATATGCCACTTTTCTGTTTAAATACTATGGGCCAGAATGTCTGTTGTTAAACCATGTCTAACTGTAGGGGAGACCGGGAAATATGTCCCACCATGTGACCAGGAATAAGGGGGAAATGTAGATACCAGGGAGCATCAGTCTTGTGTGCCACAAATTAACATGTAGAGAAAACCTCCAATTTGCAGTCTTCCACTTTTGTTTCCTCCTTTAAATTGATCTGGGTTTTTTCTTCCACTCACAAGATGTGGACGAATGTGAACATCTCAAAGCTTGCCCAGAGCACGCGACTTGCTACAACACTCTTGGAAGTTATTATTGTACATGCAACCCGGGATTTGAATCCAGCAGCAGAAGCCTGAGTTTCCAGGGCCTGGGAGAATCATGTGACGGTAGGTGGATGTGTCTGTTGAAGACTTAGTTCTAAGACTACTGAAAGGCAATGGTGAAGAGTTCAGGGTGTGTCTTGTCTTGTGTCCGAGAACTTCATATGCACAGCCAAAGTCAATATTCATTCATTCATTCATTCATTAATCCATTCATTCATTCCATTCCATTCAACAAATGCTTCTTTCTTTTTTTGAGACAGAGTCTTGCTATGTATCCTAGGATCAAAGTCATGATCCTCCTGCCCCTGCCTTCTAAGTGCTGGGTTTATGGGCATAGGCCACTATGCCTGGCTTCCAACATATGCTCATTTACTGAGCATTATATGATAGGTGCTATTCTAGATACTAGGTACATAGCAATGTATACTGAGTAACTTCTCCAAATACCATGGGGGAGGTGTTAAGGCTTCAAGATGAGAATTGTGGGGGAGGCACAATTCACTGTGTAACACACACAACTTGTAACTGATAGAGTCAAGCTTTGAACCAGAATGTCCGTGCTCTTAACCCCTTCCTTCTGTGTGTGATTACTATCAATCATACGGTGATTACTTGGAGAGAAGGTGAGATTCATGAGGGGAATGTGAAGTTCTAGGCTGAGGGAACAGAGGCCAGAGGTGATGTGCCAGTGTGGGTTAAAAGCAACCAGCACATCTGGGTCACAAATTGCAAAGGGACTAAAAGTGGAAGTGATGTAGGTGGGCCTAGTTAGGACTAGATTCTCAAGGCATTGTACAGCTAATATAGAGTGTGAGTTTTACCCTGAGTAGTGGGAAACCTTATCAGGTTTGATGGGTCCTGGCTGTGCTCTCTGCATGATGCAAATGTGTTCAAGATGGAGGGGCTGAAACCAGGGAAGCACATTGGCTTTGGTCAGTGGTGAGTCACTGCTGCCTCCTCAGCATCCTTCATCGTTTTGTCTAAGACCTTGTTTTCTCTTTAGATGTGGACGAATGCTCCCAGAACTCAACTCTTTGTGGTCTCAACTCCATTTGTGTCAACATCCCTGGAGAATACAGTTGCTCCTGCCTGCCTGGATTTTTTTTGGCCAGTTTTCAGACCCCTGGGATTTCAATGTCTTTGGAATGTATAGGTAATTTCCCCAGTGATGCTGAGAACTTCTTAATGAATATCAAACTCTCCTGAAACAGCAGCTTATACAATGAACCTGTTTGCTACCCCTTGAGCCATACCCCAAACCCTTTTGCTTTAGTTAATTTTTGGACAGGGTATCATGCTTTTTGCCCAGAGTTGGCCTTGAACTGTGATCCTCTTACCTCTGCCTCCCATGTAACTAGGATCAACAACACATGCTAACATTCCTATACTTTTTGGATTATTTATTCATATGTGCATATATTCTTTGGACCATCTCTCCTCCCTGTCTCCTCCCTTTTTCCCCTACTCCCCTCACTTCCAGGCAGAATCTGTTCTGCCCTCCTCTCCAGTTTTGTTGAAGAGTAGAATAATAAGCAATAATAAGAAAGACATAGCATTTTTGCTAGTTTCAGATAAAGATAGCTATACAGAGAGATTCCTAGCACTGCTTCCATGCCCATGTATATTATAACCCAAACTGGTTCATCTGTACCAGACCTCTTCACTACTTCCCCATCACCTTCCCATAGTGATCTCTGTCAGTTTAAGATTACTATGTTAGCTTTTCTCCAGTGGGCACATAAAATTCTTTCAAGTTTTGAGTTTCCTACCTTTCCCTATTCCTCCTGTACGTGCTCTCCCCTTTTAGTGTGTGACCCATGTTCCAATAATATTACTGCAATTGTTTTAGTTCTAAAGTCTGCATATAAGGGAGGACATATGATTTTTGATCTTCTGAGCCTGGCTAACTTCGCTTATGATGATGTTCTCCAGTTCCATCCATTTGCTTGTGAATGACAAGATTTTATTCTTCTTTATGATTGAGTAAATTTCCATTGTGTATAAATACCACATTTTCTTAATCCATTCATCAGCAGTGGGGCATCTTGGCTGTTTCCATAACTTTGCTATTGTGAATAGTGCTGCAATAAACATGGGTGTGCAGGTGCCTCTGGAGTAACGTGAGTTGCATTCTTTTGGGTATATACCAAGGAGTGGGATTGCTGGATCATATGGCAGATCTATGTTTAGGTTTTTAAGAAGCCTCCATATTGTTTTCCAGAGTGGTTATACTAGCTTGCATTCCAATCAGCAGTGCACGAGGGTCCTTTTTCCCCACATCCTCGGCAACATTTGTTGTTGGTGGTATTTTTGATGATAGCCATTCTACAGGGGGAGGTGGAATTTTAGTGTGGTTTTGATTTGCATTTCCTTTATGGCCAGAGATGGTGAGCATTTTTTCATGTGGTTTTTGGCCATTTGAATTTCTTCCTTTGAAAAAATTCTGTTTAGTTCAGTTGCCCATTTCATTATTGGTTCATTGATTTTGGGGAAGTTTAGTTTTTTGAGCTCCCTGTATATTCTGGTTATCAGTCCTTTGTCTGATGTATAGCTAGCAAATATTTTCTCCCACTCTGTGGGTGGTCTCTTCAGTTTAGACACCATTTCTTTTGTTGTGCAGAAAATTTTAATTTCATGTAGTCCCATTTGTCCATTCTTTCTCTTAGTTGCTAGGCTGCTGGTGGTCTATTGAGGAAGTCCTTGCCTATATCTATTGCTTCCAGAGTATTCCCTATTCTTTTCTGTACTAGCTTCAGAGTTTTGGGTCTGATATTAAGGTTCTTATTCCATTTTGAGTTGATATAGTTCAGGGTGATAAACATGGATCTAGTTTCAGTTTTCTGTAGGAAGATAACCACTTTTCCCAGCAACATTTGTTGAAGAGGTTAGTTTCCATTTTATGTCTTTGGTGCCTTTGTCAAAAATAAGGTGGATATAGCTCTGTGGATTTATATCTGGGTCCTCTATTCTGTTCCACTGGTCTTCATATCTGTTGTTATGCCAGTACCATGCTGTTTTTATTGCTATTGCTTTGTAATATAGTTTTAAGTCAGGTATTGTGATACTTCCAGCATTGCTCTTTTTGCTGAGTATTGCCTTGGGTATTTGTGGTCTCTTGTGTTTCCAAATGAACTTTAGGGTAGATTTTTCAATCTCTGTGACCAATGTCATTGGGATTTTGATGGGAGTTGCATTGAATATGTAGATTGCTTTTGGTAGTGTAGCCATTTTTACTATGTTGATTCTACCAATCCATGAGCATGGGAGATCTTTCCACCTTCTGTAGTCTTCCTCAGTCTCTTTCTTCAGAGGTTTGTAGTTCTCCTTGTAGAAGTCATTCACATCCTTTGTTAGATTTACTCCTAGGTATTTGATATTTTGAGGCTATTGTAAATGGAATTGTTTTCCTATACTCTTTCTCAATTTGTTCATTGTTGGTGTATAGAAAAGTTAATGCTTTTGCAAGTTGATTTTCTACCCTGCCACATTGCTGAGGCTGTTTATGGTGTCTAGGAGTTTTTGGATAGAGTTTTTTTGGTCTTTGAGCTATAGGACCATGTTGTCTGCAAATAGGGATATTTTGATAGTTTCTTTACCTATTTGTATTCCTTTTATTTCTTCTTCTTTTCTTATTGCTGTGGCTAGGAATTCCAGGACTATGTTGAATAGGAGTAGGGAGAGTGGGCATCCTTGTCTCATTCCTGATTTTAGGGGAAATGGTTTCAGTTTTTCTCCATTAAGTATGATGTTGGCTTAGGTTTGTTATATATAGTCTTTATAATGTTGAGGTACATTCCTTCTATTCCTTTTTTCTGAGAGCTTTTATCATGAAGTGGTGTTAAATTTTATCAAAGTCTTTTTCTGCATCTATTGAAATAATCAAGAGGTTTTTGTTTTTGCTTCTATTAATTTGCTGTATTACATTTATTGATTTGTGTATGTTGAACCACCCCTGCATCCCTGCGATGAAGCTGACTTGGTTGTGGTGAATGATCTTTCTGATGTGTGGCTGAATTCGGTTTACCATTGTTTTATTGAGGATTTTTGCACCAATGTTCATTAAGGAGATTGGCCTATAGTTCTCCTTTTTGGAGGTGTCTTTGATTTTGAGATGAGTATAATACTGGCTTCATAAAGTGAGTTACAAAGTTTTCCTTCCCTTTCTATTTCATGGAACAGTTTAAGGAGGGTTGATTATTAGTTCTTCTTTAAAGGTCTGATAGAATTCAGCAGAGAATCCATCAGGTCCTGGACTTTTTTTTTTGGGAGACTCTTTGGCTGCTTGAATTTCATTTTGTGTTATAGATCTATTCACCTGAATAGATCCTCTTGGTTCAATTTTGATGGTTGTAAGTATCTAGAAATTTGTCCATTTCTTCAAGATTTTCAAATTTATTGGAATATAGGCTCTCTCTCAAAGTAGTCTCTGATGATTCCCTGGATTTCTGTGGTGTTTGTGATAATCTCCCCTTTTGTGTTTCTGATTTTACTGATTTGGGTTTTTTCCCCTCCTCATTTTAGTCAGATTTGCCAGAGGTCTGTCAATCTTGTTTATTTTGTCTAATAACCAGCTTTTTGTTTTGATTTTTTTATCTCTATTTCATTAATTTCGGGCCAATGTTTTTTATTTCTCTCCTTCTGCTTGTTTTGGGTTTTGCTTGTTGTTTTTCTAGGAGTTTGAGATGTATCATTAGGTCATTGATTTGGGATCTTTCTGTCTTTTTAGTATATGCACTTATGGCTATAAACTTTCCTCTTAGGGCTGCCTTTGCTGTGTCCCATAGGTTCCAGTAGGTCGTGTTTTCATTTTCATTAACTTCCAGGAACCTTTTAATTTCCTCTTTTATTTCATCAGTGACCCATTCATCATTGAGCAATGTGTTGTTCAGCTTCCAATTGTTTGCATGTTTTTTTTACTGCTGTTTTTGTTGTTGATTTCTAGTTTTAATGCATTGTGGTCAGATAGAATGCATGGGATTATTTCTAATTTCTTATATTTGCTGAGGCTTGCTTTGTGCCCTAAGACATGATCAATTTTGGAGAAGGTTCCATGGGCTGCTGAGAAGAATGTATATTGTGCAGATGTTGGATGAAATATTCTGCAGACATCATATCTATGGTGTGATTTAGTTCTAGAATTTCTTTATTGATTTTTTTTGTTTGGTGACCTACCTATTGGTGATAGGGGGGTGTAAAGTCTCCCACTACCACTGTTTTGGTGTCTGTATTGCTTTTAAGTCCTTTAAAGTATGCTTGATGAATTTGGGTGCACTGAGATTGGTGCATATAGGTTGATAATTATTTCCTTTTGGTGTATTTCCCCCTTTTATTAAAGAAGTGTCCGTATCTTATTTGATCAATGTAAGTTTGAAGTCTAGTTTATCTGAGATAAGTATTGCTACTCTTGCCTGTTTTCAGGGAGCTTGGTAAATTTTATTCCAGCCTTTCACCCTAAGCCAGTGTTTGTTTCTGTCAATGACATGGGTCTCCTGTAAACAACAGACTGTTGGATCTTCCATTTAAATCCAGTTTGTCAAATGGTGTCTTTTGATGGGGGGAGTTGAGTCTGTTGACATTTAGTGTTAATATTGATAGGTATGTGGTGATTCCTGTCATTTAGTTGTTTTTGTTAAGGGTTTGATTGTGTGCAACTGAATCAATGTTATTCTGATTCCTTGCCTTTTCTTCTCCTGTGGTTTGATACTGCCTGTCCTCTCATGGTTTTGTTTGCTTTCATTTTCTGTGTGCAGAATTCCTTGGAGAATCTTTTGTAGTGGTGGTTTGGTGGTCAGATATTGTTTTAGTTTCTGCTTATTGTGGAAGACTTTTATTGTTCCATCTATTTTGAATGATAGTGTTGCTGGGTAGAGTATCCTAGGGTTGAAGTTATTTTTATTCAGTTCCTGGAATACCTCATTCCATGCCCTTGCTGCTTTTAAGGTTTCTGTTGAGAAATCTGCTGTGATTTTGATGGGTTTACCTTTATATGTTATTTGTTCTCTCTCAAGGTCTTCAATATTCTTTCTCTATTCTCTGTGTTTGTCATTTTAATGATAATATGTTGTAGGGTAGTTCTATTTTGGTCAAGTCTGTTTGGAGTCCTGGAGGAATGGCTTCCTGTACCTGAATGGGCATAACTTTCTCTAGATTTTG